GGCTAACACCCAGGTACCCATTTACTGATGGGTAAACATAGACAACAGGTGTAAAGAAATGCCCAGTGTTTCTACCCTGGCTGGGAATTGAATATTTACCAAAAATCGTATATGGCTAACCCAAGCCAGGTACTAGAAATAAGCCACGTTGACTTTTTTGGGTTATCCTAGGTTCTCTACACATATGCTGCTATGTGTGATAACCTATATAGAGAAAATAACTTTTTTGTTTCAGGTTTATGGTACAGTACGAGATACGATACAGTACAGTACGTGTACAAGATACGATACTACGTGCCGCAAACTGCCCTTCTCACACTATACCATTCACTTATATATCCATACCTCACCTATGCTATCTCTGCTTGGGGTTCAACTGCAGCAACACACCTAAAGCCAATAATAACCCAACAAAAAGCCGCAGTAAGAATAATCACTAAATCCCATCCCTGGCAACACACCCCCCCACTCTTCATAGATCTAAACTTTCTCCCTGTTCAGTTCATCCACACTTACTACTGTGCAATCTACATCTACAGGACCTTAAATTCCAATATTAACCTTGACCTAAAACGCTTTCTTGATAGTTGTGACAGAACCCACAGGCACAACACCAGACACAAACATCTCTATGACATTCCCCGTGTCCGACTAAACCTTTACAAAAATTCAATGTATGTCAAAGGCCCTAAAATCTGGAACACCCTACCTGAAAATTCTAAAACTGCAGACACATTCATCACCTTCAAAACTACCATCAGAAAACATCTTATCTCCCTGATACACCCTGTCAACTAACTTCACGAATACCACCTGGTGGTTAACACTTACACTCACTCACCCATTTGACCATAAATAGAAATATCAATCTCAATCTCAAAATAATGAATCTTAACTAGTCATAAGTTGGCCTGTGATACTCCAATACTGAAACTATGTATAGTGCCAAAACAAAAGCATTCACATTGCTAAACTCACAAACTAGTATTTAGTCACTTAGCCATAATACCAACTTACCTCATAATTTTGTAATATTTTAAGCTTAAGATTTAATTTAAGTCTGCCCGAAATGCCTAGCCAAGCTAGGTGTTCTAGTGGTACACTCTGTAATTATTATTTTACTACATGTAAACCACACAATAACCAAACTCTGTAAACTCAGCATTTTAATCCTTATAGAGAATAAACTTTGAATTGAATTGAATTGAAGTTAGCCCTGTGCTACACTCCGTTTTCTCTAATATAAGCCCCCAAGACAGGGGATAGGAGAATGGTATTTGTATACCATATCCTCTTCATACCTCCATCGAACTGCTCGGTGTTATGCCAAATATTATTTATTCTGGAGTATTTAATGTGTTTTATGTTATTTATATTGTTTATTATGTCATATTAGATCAGTTGCGGTAGGCAAATAAGCTGTAGTGTTGATATTAGTGTAATAATAAAGCATATTCTCCTGCATCACGAGACTGAGCTCAAAGCAGCTGACAGTGGCTCCAAAGCCACCTTATCTTTAATGGATAATGTACTGTGTCGGTGCTTTACATAACGAGAAGCATTTCTTTTATTCATTGGAACCATGGCTGGGGCTAAAAGTAAGCAGATTATAACAATAAATGGAGAAAAAGAAATTGGAATGACTTATGCAGCAAGTAGCACCACCAAACAGTAGCAGCAGATTGGTGTGGCGACCCTGGAAATTTGAAATTATGCTAGCCGAAATTAGTGCCAATTACTGAAGGAACCGAATAACTGATTGCCGGATTTGTGATGGAGGACCTGTACAATAATATAATACAATAATAATAATAATAATAATATAATATGTATAATAATAATACATATATAATAATGTACTACATACAGTGGTCCCTCGTTGTTCGTAATTAATCCGTTCCTGGAGCCGTTACTATAAACGAAATTTACGATTTACGAATCAATTTTCCCCATAAGAAATATAATGTAAATACAATTAATCCGTTCCTGACACCCAGAAGTATTAAAACAAAAAAATTTTTAACATGAAATATGCATGTAGTACATGAACAATACAATGGGAAATGATGAATGAAACATTAACAGCATAACACTTACCTTTATTGGAGATTCTTCTTAGTGTATGGGAGACTGGAGGAGGAGAGAGAGTGGATTGTTTATAGTTTGGAAGGGGAATCCCCTTTCATCAACACCTCAGATACCAATTGCTTTTCTGGGGTTGCTTCTCTTCTCTGTTTCTTAATGCCACTAGGACCACCTTGAGAGTCACTGGAGTCCTGTCTCACAAAATAACTGTGGAGAGAGCTCTGTTTCTGGCATCTCTTTAACACTTCCCTAAAATGGCCCAAGACTTTGTCACTGTACATGTTGCCAACCTGGCTTGCAACAACCTTGTTAGGGTGATGTTTCTCCATAAAGCTTTCCATCTTACCCCACATAGTAAAAATCTCTTTAATTTCTGAAGAAGGCACCTTCTTCCATCTCTCTTCCTCCTCTGCAGCAAGATTCTGAGCTGCGATGTGTTGCTCTTCCTGCTGAAGCTCTTGCAGCTCCTCAGTGGTGAGCTCTTCATTGTGGTCTTCCACCAATTCTTCCACATCCTCCAAACTCACATCCAACCCCATGGAACTCCCCAGTGCCACAATTGATTTTACAACAGACATAGGCTCATTAGGGTCAGTCCCAAATTCTTCAAAATCCCTCTTGTTGACACAATCTGGTCACAATTTTCTCCAGGCAGAGTTCAAAGTCCTGGTAGTCACTCCCTCCCAAGCCATACCTATAAGGGTTATGCAGTGGAGGATGCTGAAGTGTTCTCTCCAAAATTCCCTTAGAGTCAAGTGAGTGTCTGTGGTCACAGTCAAGCACCTGTGAAACATTGCTTTTGTGTAGAGTTTTTTAAAGTTTGCAATAACCTGCTGGTCGATGGGTTGGAGGAGAGGAGTGGTATTCGGGGGCAAGAACTTTACTGTGATGAACCCAAACTCCTCGAAAATTAGGTCATCCAAGTTTGGAGGATGAGCAGGTGCATTGTCCATTACTAGCAGGCACTTGAGATCCAATTTCTTTTCCAGGAGATACTCCTTCACACTAGGGCCAAACACTTCATTGAACCACTCGACGAAAATTTCCCTCGTGACCCATGCCTTACTATTAGATTTCCAAAACACACACAATTTACTCTTCATAACATTGTTTTTCCTGAACACTCTTCGATTTTCAGAATGGTACACTAGTAATGGCTTCACTTTGAAATCCCCACTAGCATTAGCACAGAACATTAGCATCAGCCTGTCTTTCATAGGCTTGTGTCCTGGCATTGCCTTTTCCTCTTGTGTAATGAAGGTCCTCTTTGGCATTTTCTTCCAAAAGAGGCCTGTTTCGTCACAGTTGAACACTTGTTCAGGTTTCAGTCCTTCAGCCTCTATGTACTCCTGGAATTCATGCACATATTTTTCAGCCGCCTTGTGGTCCGAACTGGCAGCCTCACCATGCCTTACCACACTGTGTATGCCAGTACGGTTCTTAAATCTCTCAAACCAGCCTTTGCTGGCCTTAAATTCACTCACTTCACTCACTATTTGCAGGCAATTTCTTTACCAAATCTTCATGCAACTGCCTAGCCTTTTCACAAATAAATGAAGTCATAAGAGTATCTCCTGCTAATTGTTTCTCATTTATCCACACCAATAATAACTTCTCAACCTCTTCCAGTACTGGTGATCTCATTTTTGTCAGCATAGTTACTCCCTTTGCAAAAACAGCATCCTTTATTTCATTTTTCTTGGCCACTATGGAACATAAGGTTGTGTAGGGTTTCTTATACATCCTGGACAGTTCGGCCACACTTGTACCACTTTCATATTGTTCAATGATGGTTTTCTTAAATTCATTCGTATTTCTCACCTTCTTTACCACAGGCTTGGCACTAGGAGCTTTCTTTGGAGCCATGGTAGCTTATTTAGTACTTGCAAGCACTAAAATAAATGGAATATTATGAAATATTTCGCTGGAGCACGTGAGGGGACCTTCGCTCATTGGTAAACAATGTCAGACTGGCTGCCGCCCTGGCTCACGCCGTGGGTACGCATCCCGGACGAACTACGACTCGTGAGTCAACCTATGAAAAGCGAGTCCATGTTTATACGAAAATACCTCTATGATTGGCGAATTTTACGATTGCCGGGAACTACGAAAAGCGGGGGACCACTGTATAACAATTATAATAGACGGCTTCAAAAGGCCGTCACTAGATGGCAGTGTTTACCACAACAAAGAGGGAGCAGTTGTAGCCGCCTCCACCTGTTACATAATGACATATTTTATTCATTCTAGAGTATATATCATGTTTCTATGTTATTTATATTGTTTATGTCATATTAGATGAAACTGTGATAGATAAATAAGCCGTATAGATGATGTTAGCTAAATTATTCATGAAGTGTTTTGCCCAATCTCCAGACAAACTCTTGTCCACCGCCAACACCGCCCATACCACTACATGAATGACATATTTTATTAATTTTAGAGTATATATCAGGTTTGTATGTTATTTATATTGTTTATTATGTCATATTAGATGAAGTGAGATAGATAAATAAGCCGTAGAGTTGATATTAGCAAAATTATTGAAGTACAGAATTCCACTGGAATGGATTAATTGCATTTCAATTAATTTAAATGTGGAAAATTTACTCTGCAAACGAGCAAATCCAGTTGTGAGCAAGGTCATGGAACTTATTAAACTCGCAAGTAGAGGTTCCGCTGTATACCTACATACCTTCTTCATACAGTACTTAACATCATTGTATGTGCATTGATTTCCCTTTATGCTTGTGCACTGTATACATTTCTCAGTACAAACAGGATGGCATTTGACTGAACTTCTTTAGTTTACCGGAGGAGAGCAAAAATTTTAAAATAATGTAAATGGTTTAGCCTAAATTTATCTTACCAAACTGTATTTCTAAGAAACTACTTTGTATCTATTCTTCAAATAGGAAGGTTGTGTCTATGACCAAAGTTATTCCTCAGGAGATGATGCAGCGGGAACTGGAGGAGGCTCGTGCTCGAGCGACACAGATGGAGAAAACTATGAGGTGGTGGTCTGACTGCACAGCTAACTGGAGAGAAAAGTGGAGCAAGGTGAAGTGAAGCTTTTTATGTAGTCCGTCTTCATACTTGTATTTTGAATACATTCTCTTACATGGTTTTGGAGATAATGAGCTGAATATACGAATGTTTGAGAGCATGTTCTCTATCTTGATTATAATGATATACAGTAATTAATATTTTTATAAAAAAAATATTTTTAGTAATCAAGGATTCACATAAGTTTTTCTCTCCAGTTCACCAGTATGTCTCAAGCATTCATGAAAACGTATTCCTAATCAACCTACAAAGAGTTCAGGTTATGTATTTCTTATGACATGTAACTGAAATGGTTTATGATACTCAAATGAAAATGGGTGTTCTTGGCTATTCTTAATATGGGGTGCATTGATTTTACAAGATTATGACGGATTACATTTGACTTCTTGTAACTTTCAGGTTCGAAGTGAGCGCAATAAAGCACGGGAGGAAGTGAGGATCTTGCGGGGTCGTCTTGAGGTATCACAACGAGAGACTGGCGTTCTAAGAAGAGAGAAGAATGATTTAGAATCTCAGATGACACAGTTAACTCAGACTTACCAGTTGAGACCTAGAAAGGACAGTGTCGCAGATAAAACTGAAGATGTCAGAGATGAGGTAAACTGTGTTAGGTGCTTTATTCAACCCATTCCACCACTCAGGAGATCTCATTTCACCACTCACCAGGAATCATTCCACCACTCAGGACAAGCCATTCCTTGTATAATGACAAACGTGATGCAAATATTGTCAGTTATTTTTCCTAATATTTTAAATAATTAAATACATTGAATAATAATATTTTTCAGTGTGCATAAGCATGTTAGATTGGAGTGAGTGGAGACAAGTGGATTTTGGGATTTGATGTGCTATTGGAGTGTGAAAAAGATAAGATTTATGAAGGGATTCATGGTAACTGGATAGTCAGACTTTGAGTCCCAGAAGAAGTACAATGTCTGCACTCTGAAAAATGGTTAGAGATGTTAAAGTTTGCAGGGGCATTTGAATTGTGATATCTGCACATTTCAGGCAAGATAGCTATTGAATGAATGGTGGTGAATATTTCCTTCTTTGAATCATTCTACATTGTTGGTAAATTGTAGTAAAAAAAATAAAAAAATTCTATAGTCCATTCTTATCAGGAAAGTCAAATATCTATTGATGTGACAACTTGTCAAAAGTAAGCTAAAGGATTGGTGTTATTAGTTACCACTGGGTAGTGTGTAGTAATATTTTTATATTTCCATTATTAAGGGTAGCCATAAAGGAGACTCGCCAGAGCGCGATGGCAGCACTCCAGTACGCCCCATCACCCAGACAGAGGCAGAAAAATTGTCCAACGATGAACTTCAGTTTATCCGTGATGCTAAAAATACAAATTTCAGCCTTCTCGAAGAAATGTTCGGATCTCGTGGAAGTCACACAGGTGACGATATTCTGGGAAATAATGGAGGTAATATTAATGAGACATTAGTGCAGAGTGGTGTTGAAAACGTCTCTGTTTATGCTCACAAACCTAGTGAAGCCTCCCGCCTTAGTGAGAAGTGTCGTGCTGGCCGTGAAGTGAAGGATCTGATATGTGATGAGTACCTTAAAGATAGTGCTGTTAAAGAGGTTTCTGAAAACTGTCATCATCCTCAGAGAGAAAATGACATTGAGGAAAAAATGATCCACACCCAGCAGCAGCAACAGCAGCAGCAACAGCAGCAGCAGCAGCAGCAGCAGCAGCAGGAACATGCATTTAGAGAGAATGCAGCTGCTGGTGCTGGAAGTAGTAATAGTAGCAGCCAGCCGTCCCCATCCCACAGGATGTCTGCCATGTCAGACCCTCTCCCAGACACGTGCCATATTAATCCTAGAATATCAGCGGTTTCAGACCCTATGAGTGAATTTTGTGGGGGGAGTGAGTGTAGTGAAGGGGGTTATGAAGAATCTGTCCGTTCCAACGATGGAGTCGGTGGCCGTGAAGTTAAAAGAGCATGGAGGACAAACAATGGTGGTAATGGTGTCATAGGTGTGGGTGGGGGTACAGTGATGGATGAGATGGGCATTACTCCTGAACAGGAGAGTTTAGAGCAGCAAGTTACCATGCTTAAATTACGATTGGATGAAGCCACCAAGACCATACAAGCAGAAAGAGAGTGAGTATTTCTAAATGTTCTTATAGTATTGTAACTGGTATAGTACAGTACTTTAAAATATTCGATGTCAGAGTACCTCTACTTTTATTCCAAGATGGTCAATAAATTATATTTTAATGATTTGTGTCCCTCGAGAGATTGTGAAGTCTTGTATGGTACAGTACACCACTAACTACCTACAGCTGCAAAATATGTAACCAGCTTACCTTGACTGTTTTTGGATGGTTCGGTTTACCAACACCACACTATTAAATATAGTTAACACATACTGTACATAGAGAAAGCAAAAGCAAGTACGTACTGTACTACTACTGGCAGACCTCACATCTAGCAGGTGTTCTGATTATTGATATTTGTCAGTTATTTTGCATGTGTTAATGTATATAATACATAAGCCTGAATGACCCATGTAGTTGATAGATTCTAAACCTAACAAACTTAGCCAATTCTTATACAGTACTGTACATGAGTATACCCATGTTTTATCAAGCCACTTCCACTAAGTTGCCCAGCCAGTTACTGGCAAGATCCACTGGTGCTTAACCCAACTAAGAAATTTATGTACCAACCAGCGATGAGAGGCAGTGCATAGTAACAAAACACTGTATAAAGTAAATGAAGAAAAGCAAATTGCAAGAATTTGATGAGAGGAGGCAACAAGATTTGTTTGTTTTCTTAACAGAATTTGCAACATTTAGTTCAATTTATTTCTTACTTTGATTTACTAATTTTTATTTAAGTTTATTTACAATACTAATTTATATATACAAATTTTGATTTTATTATTTTGATTTACCCATTTTGATTTGCTACTACAGTACTTTATTTTCTGTTTAACAGCAGTTTGCCTTTTCTGAATCACAAGAATTTAGTTATATTGTTCATAAAAATTTTTTATCAAGTATGTATTAATTTTCCACAGTGAAAAGCTTGTACTGCATCGTGAGTGTTCAAAATGGCAGTCAGAGGCCAATGAACTACGGTCGAGATTAGACGATGTTCGAGCTTCTCGGCAGGAAGCGGTAAAAGAGCTGGTGTCTCTACGCACTCAACATCAGAAGGAAGTACAATGTTTGCAGCTTGAGATGTTAGATGAAGCATCATCAAGGGAATGTATAGACCGCAGGTAGAGTAACCCTGTGTCTGATGACACCTCTACCATCTACAGTACAGTACTGCCAAAGTGTATTGATGCATAAAAATATGGGTGATGTCAACATGGTTGTTAAACATATTTATAGATGAGGTTGTAAGAGAAGTGAATGCTAAGTTGTTGGGGAGAGGTGTGGGATTAAAGCATTATAAATTTGATACAAAGTGGAAGTAGTCACAAGTGCTCTTTGCTGATGACACAGTTCTTTTGGGGAACTGAAGAAAAATTGCAAAGGGTGGTGGACAAATTTGGGACAGTATATAAAAGAAGGAAATTTAAAGTGAATATAGGAAAGAATAAAGTGATGAGGGTAACAATAAAATACTGGACATCAGATCGGAAGAGGGGGTATAAAAGAAGTAAATGCATTCAGATACTTCGGCGAAGTCCTGATGGCTGATGGTTCTGTGAAGGAGGAGAATCATAGAATAGCTGAGGGAAAAAAAAAAAGATGGGTGATGTGTTGAGACATCTTACAAAGAACGTTTATGTATGGAGGCCCTACCTTGTTGGGAGACAGCTGGTGTGGTAACAAGAAAAAATTATGAAGATAAGTTTAAAATGCCGATAGGAGACCAAATGAAAGAATGGGCAAAACATTATTTCTGAATTTTGCTGGAGAGGGATAAATTAGGCAAGTGAGTAAACCTTAAAAGGAAATAGATTTCTCCATATCTCCAGTCAAAATAAGTGTTAAATTTAAAATAACCCAATAGCTCTGATGTACCATGGAAATTTTCAGAGAAATCTGTATGTGACTTACAATAAATGAGGATACCGTACAGTACTGTATATGATGGCAGTTATGCATCTTGCTGTCAATAACCCAGCATCTGCCAAGTTGAGAGACCACGTCCACCCATCTACTGTATGTATTGTCCAGTACTTAACTCTGTATTCTTGTGCAGGTAGAAAGCACTGCAGCAAATGCAAAGATCTTATAAACTACTACTTTTAATGGTAAATATTTTCTATATTATGTTAAGATTTTTAGTCATTTTTATTTTATTTTTATTAGTGATTTTTATTTAATAAGTAACATTCAATAGGTCAGTTACTTTTGTACATTACTTCAAAAATTTATGCTGAATTTCAAAGGTAAATTATGAAATTTTGGGAAGCAGCAGCAGTAATACCAGTGATACACCTTTCATTAAACCATTATTTTTTGTAGCACACACAGCAATTAAATGAATGATAGTGATTTCTTTTTTTTTTTTTTTTTTTTGCGCTTTACATTGGTAGAGGAAATAAAAATAATATTTTAGTTATTGAAATGTATATTTTAGTAGACATTGAAATATTTTTTGGTTGTGTAGAATTTTATTCTTTTGTGATTGTAAAATGCTCACTGGAAGTTCGAAAGGCCATGATTGTAAATGCTCTCTGGAAGTTTTGAGAAAGTTTATGGCCATAATGGAGTGATAAACTGGCTCTTAAACATATAATTTTTTCATTTGTAACACTTAACCTCATGTGGTGATTTTTTTCATTTGTAACACTTACCCTCATGTGGTAATTAAAGGACATGCTTTCTTTTTTAATCTGTCATCTCTGAGGGTGAGTAAATGATCCTTTCATCTGGTTACTATCTATGGACCACCACTATGCATACATACATGCATGCAAATGTACTTTTATGTTGCAAGCATACATGCCTGTAAATACATGCATGCATAAACCATGGGGAATCAAATACAAAATGGGAGTTGACACAGTTACTTTTTGCTGATGATACTGTGCTTTTGGGAGATTCTAAAGAAAAGTTGCAAAGGTTAGTGGATGAGTTTTGGAGGGTGTGTAAATAGAAAGTTGAAAGGAACATAGATAAGCGTAAGGTGATGAGGATATCAAATGATTTAGATGGAAGAGGGTAAGGTACCTAGGGATTGGCAGAGAGCATGCATAGTTCCTTTGTATAAAGGCAAAGGGGATAAAAGAGAGTGCAAAAATTATAGGGGGATAAGTCTGCTGAGTATACCTGGTAAAGTGTATGGTAGAGTTATTATTGAAAGAATTAAGAGTAAGACGGAGAATAGGATAGCAGATGAACAAGGAGGGTTTAGGAAAGGTAGGGGGTGTGTGGACCAGGTGTTTACAGTGAAACATATAAGTGAACAGTATTTAGATAAGGCTAAAGAGGTCTTTGTGGCATTTATGGATTTGGAAAAGGCGTATGACAGGGTGGATAGGGGGGCAATGTGGCAGATGTTGCAAGTGTATGGTGTAGGAGGTAGGTTACTGAAAGCAGTGAAGAGTTTTTACGAGGATAGTGAGGCTCAAGTTAGAGTATGTAGGAAAGAGGGAAATTATTTCCCAGTAAAAGTAGGCCTTAGACAAGGATGTGTGATGTCACCGTGGTTGTTTAATATATTTATAGATGGGGTTGTAGGAGAAGTAAATGTGAGGGTCTTGGCAAGAGGCGTGGAGTTAAAAGATAAAGAATCACACACAAAGTGGGAGTTGTCACAGCTGCTCTTTGCTGATGACACTGTGCTCTTGGGAGATTCTGAAGAGAAGTTGCAGAGATTGGTGGATGAATTTGGTAGGGTGTGCAAAAAAAGAAAATTAAAGGTGAATACAGGAAAGAGTAAGGTTATGAGGATAACAAAAAGATTAGGTGATGAAAGATTGGATATCAGATTGGAGGGAGAGAGTATGGAGGAGGTGAATGTATTCAGATATTTGGGAGTGGATGTGTCAGCGGATGGGTCTATGAAAGATGAGGTGAATCATAGAATTGATGAGGGGAAAAGAGTGAGTGGTGCACTTAGGAGTCTGTGGAGACAAAGAACTTTGTCCTTGGAGGCAAAGAGGGGAATGTATGAGAGTATAGTTTTACCAACGCTCTTATATGGGTGTGAAGCATGGGTGATGAATGTTGCAGCGAGGAGAAGGCTGGAGGCAGTGGAGATGTCATGTCTGAGAGCAATGTGTGGTGTGAATATAATGCAGAGAATTCGTAGTTTGGAAGTTAGGAGGAGGTGCGGGATTACCAAAACTGTTGTCCAGAGGGCTGAGGAAGGGTTGTTGAGGTGGTTCGGACATGTAGAGAGAATGGAGCGAAACAGAATGACTTCAAGAGTGTATCAGTCTGTAGTGGAAGGAAGGCGGGGTAGAGGTCGGCCTAGGAAAGGTTGGAGAGAGGGGGTAAAGGAGGTTTTGTGTGCGAGGGGCTTGGACTTCCAGCAGGCATGCGTGAGCATGTTTGATAGGAGTGAATGGAGACAAATGGTTTTTAATACTTGACGTGCTGTTGGAGTGTGAGCAAAGTAACATTTATGAAGAGGTTCAGGGAAACCGGCAGGCCGGACTTGAGTCCTGGAGATGGGAAGTACAGTGCCTGCACTCTGAAGGAGGGGTGTTAATGTTGCAGTTTAAAAACTGTAGTGTAAAGCACCCTTCTGGCAAGACAGTGATGGAGTGAATGATGGTGAAAGTTTTTCTTTTTCGGGCCACCCTGCCTTGGTGGGAATCGGCCAGTGTGATAATAAAAAAAATAAAAAATAAATTAGATAAAAAATGGATATCACATTGGAGAGAGGGAGTATGGAAGAAGTGAATGTTTTCAGATATTTGAGAGTTGATTTGTCAGTGGATGAGTTTATGAAAGATGAGGTTAACCATAGAATTTATGAAGGAAAAAAGGCGAGTGGTGCATTGAGGTATATGTGGAGACAAAAAATGCTATCCATGGAGGCAAAGAAGGGAATGTACGAAAGTATAGTGGTTCCAAAACTCTTATATGAGTGTGAAGTTTGGATTGTAAATGCTGCAGCGAGGAGGTGGCTGGAAGCAGCGGAGATATCGCATCTAAGGGCAATGTGTGGTGTAAATATTATGCAGAGAATTTGGAGTGTGGAAATTAGGAGGAGGCATGGAGTTACTAAAAGTATTAGTGAGGGGGCTGAAGAGGGGTTGTTGAGGTGGTTTGGTCATTTAGAAAGAATGGAACAAAGTAGAACGACTTGGAGGGTATAAATCTGTAGGGGACAGGAATGCGGGGTATGGTTGTCCTCAAAAAGGTTGGAGGGAGGGGGTAAAGGAGGTTTTGTGGGCGAGGAGCTTGGACTTCCAGCAAGCGTGTGTGAGCATGTTAGATAGGTGTGAATGGAGACGAATGGTATTTGGAACCTGACGAGCTGTTGGAGTGTGAACAGGGTAATATTTAGTGAAGGGATTCAGGGAAACCGGTTATTTTTATATAGCCGGACTTGAGTCCTGGAAATGGGAAGTACAATGCCTGCACTTCAAAGGAGGGGTTTTGGGATATTGGCAGTTTGGAGGGATATGTTGTGTATCTTTTTACATATATGCTTCTAAACTGTTGTATTCTGAACACCTCTGCAAAAACAGTGATTATGTGTGAGTGAGGTGTCAGTGTTGAATGATGAAAGTATTTTCTTTTTGGGGATTTTCTTTCTTTTTGGGTCACCCTGCTTCGGTGGGAGACGGCCGACTTGTTAAAAAAAATAATAATAATAATTTGTCAGAGCATCATTCCTTACAAAAATTACATGAGACTGGAAGTGTTGGTCTTTATTTATTCTGTACCACTGTGGAGACAACTTGTACACAATGTAAGTTGTTTGTATGAATGTTTATGAACCATAACCAGACACTTTGTTTGTTTACATAGTGGGTGGGGTGGCCAGGTGGGCTTCCCTACCCTACCTCCCACACGACTTTCTACAAATACAGTGGAACCCAAATTTTGGCCGCCCTGAGTATCGGCCGCTTCGAGTTTCGACCACTTTTTTTGGCTAAACTTTGTCCCGAGTTTCGGACTGTGCCCAGTGTTTTGGCCAGCGTACCAGACCTCTCCACTTGCCTGCGCCTGCCCGTGCAGGCATCGTGAGCCAGTCTAGCTTTGTTTATCCTTGAGTGAACATACCCTGCATGCTCATCCAAACATTTCACAATAAATTCATTGTGTTTAGTGCTTGTTTATTGATTGTGACTGAAATAAGCCACATGGGCCCAAACAAACTTCGTAGTGGCAGCAGTTGAAGCAAGAGCTTCAACTGGAACAGCATCAGACCACAGCTGAGGAACTTGCTTCAGAAGAGGAGGAAGAGGGAGTGAAGGAGGTGCCTTCTTTAGTAATTAAGGGCATGTGTGGAATGTGGAATAGTTCAGTGACTAAACAATGTTCCATTTTAGGCGAATCTTAAAGAGATGCCAGAAACAGAGCACTCTTGAAAGTTATTTTGTGTGACAAGGGTCCAGTGACTCTCAAGCTGGTCCTAGTGGCATTAAAAGACAAAGAAGGAAAGTAGCCCCAGATGAGGACTTGTTTCCTAAAGTCTTTATGGAAGGGGATTCCTCCTTCTCTCCTCCTCCCTGTCTTCCAGATGCCAGCAAGACTTTTCAATAAAGGTATGTAAATGTGATTTTAAATGTTTATTTATTTATTGTATTACTCACTTAAGTATTTTATGTATGTTTTAAGTACTGTATGTATGTTAAACCTAGGTAGTAGGTTGGTAGACAGCAACCGCCCAGGGAGGTACTACCGTCCTGCCAAGTGAGTGTAAAACGAAAGCCTGTAATTGTTTTACATGATGGTAGGATTGCTGGTGTCTTTTGTCTGTCTCATAAATATGCAAGATTACAGGTAAGTCTTGCTACTTCTACTTACACTTAGGTCACACTAAACATACATGTACAAGCATATATATACACACCCCTCTGGGTTTTCTTCTATTTTCTTTCTAATTCTTGTTCTTGTTTATTTCCTCTTATCTCCATGGGGAAGTGGAACAGAATTCTTCCTCTGTAAGCCATGCGTGTTGTAAGAGGCGACTAAAATGCCGGGAGCAAGGGGCTAGTAACCCCTTCTCCTGTATATATTACTAAATTTAAAAGGAGAAACTTCAGTTTTTTCTTTTGGGCCACCCCACCTCAGTGGGATACGGCTGGTACGTTGAAAGAAGAAGAATGTATGTTAAACTAAATTTATCTTTTAAAATTTTATTTTTTTTTGTGAATATTTTTGTGGGTCTGGAATGGATTAATTGTATTTACATTATTTCTTATGGGAAATATTGCTTCGACTTTAGGCCGTTTCAAGTTTAGGCCTAGCTCCTGGAATGGATTACGGCTGAAACTCGGGATTCCACTGTAGTGTAAATACTTTTCACCTCTCACCCTACATTAAGACCATTAAGACTACAAATATTTTAAGGTAAGTAAATGAGTGTACTGTATATGCATTTTATCACTCAAGGGAACTTTAAGCGTCGTTGTAGTATTTTTATGTGTGGGTAGGGTGGCCAGGAAGGCTACCACACCTGATTTCTTACAGTAAATACTACTCACCTTTTGCCCTACATTAAGACTACAAATATTTTGAGGTAAACAATGAGTATACTGTGTGTATTTTACTTTTTATTGTTTTTAACCCTTAAACTGTCCAAACGTAGATCTATGTTTGCATGCGTAGCACTCCGACCTTGATTTTCTCCATTTGAAAGCATATAAAAAAAATGTAGATCTACGTTCAGAGTGCTACGCGAGTGAACGTAGATCTACGTTTGGACAGTTTAAGGGTTAATGCCTAGTTCTATTGCTATCTTAATATATGTTAATATATGTTAAAATAGGATGACTTGAAGGTGTTTAACACTGTAATGGAGGAAAGGAGGGGTATAGGTCAGCCTAAGAAAAGATGGAGGGAGGGGATGAAGAAGGGTTTGTATGGAAAGGGCTTAGACACTCAACAGCATGTGTGAGCATGTTGGGAGTGAGTGGAGGCAAGTGGGTTTTATGACTTGAAGTGCTGTTAGAGTGTGGGCAAGGGAACATTTGTGAAGAGGTTCAGGGAAATAGGTTAGCTGGTCTTCTTGAGTCTTGGAGGTGTGGGGATATTGCAATTTGGAGGGGCATCTGAGCTGTAGTATTGATGTTCCTCTGGTAAGACAGTAATGGCATGATTGATGGTTAAATTCTTCTTCTTCTTTTTCAGGTCATCCTACCTCAGTGAGAGACAACCGGTGTGTTAAAAAAAAGTAGGTACATATGGTTACTGTTTATATACCATCTTTAGTTCTATTGCACTTTACAGATTAGCAGACCTGAGAGCAGAACTGGAGAGATTGCAGGAGGAAAATGCTGCAGAATGGGGTAGAAGAGAAAGACTTGAGAGTGAAAAACTAGGGCTAGAGCGAGAAAACAAGAAACTGAGAGCTCAAGTCTCAGACCTAGAAGAAAGGCTTGACAAAAGAAGCAAAATGACAACATCAACACCAGACTCAGACGTGGCTCAACTCAAACAAGAGATTGCAGACAAGTTTAAGGTACATAATACATATTCATTTGCTGACATAGCCAGAAATTTATTATTGTACATTGTATGAGTAGTTATGTTCATTATTACAGTTAAGAGGATCTCTTATATTAGGCCAAAATGTGCAGTGCATCATACAGTATATAAAGTATATTATACTTGTTGATGACATTCCAAAATACAGTGTTCTGTATTATACAAGTTGATGACATATAGTGTACAGTGGAACCTCGGTTGTCTAGCTTAATTCATTCCAGATGTCGATTCGACAACCAAAATGGACGACAACCAAAGCAATTTTTCCCATAACGAATAATGTAAATAGAATAAATCCATTCCAGACCCCGAATGACAATATAATAATTTATTAGAAATGTACTAACTACTACATAAAACTAAAAATGAATACTAAAAGAAAATAACTGAAATACTGTACAATATATGATACTTAACTGCCTCTTACCTGTCAGAGGAAAGCTAAGGCACACTGAAAGCAGGAGGTGGAGAATAGGAGGGGGTATGTTACTACTTGAAAGAAGAGTCACCTTCTATTAATCCTTTCACTGTTGAGATCCCTGCTTACAAACTTGCTCTCAGTGTCGAAGAATTTAAAAAAAAAAGTATTGTTTCTTATAAAATGATAGAGAATCTTTTCCCGATGGTAATGACAACAAAAGTACAAAATTTGATGGAAAACTTACGGAATTATGCTCTTATGAAGTTAACGGTCTCGGCAGTATATACGCATCGGTGATTTTCCCCACTTTGAGCCCTATTTTCGGCCAATTCCATTCATCCAGTCGACCAAACTCATAGCTATTTTGCTAGAACTCCATTTGTTCTAACGATTGAGTACAAGGAACCACCCATTTACCAATTCCAACTACCCAATAAAGTGGTCAGAAATTGACAATTTGGCCAATTTCACACAAATTTCAAAAGATGCCAGTTTTAACATAGGGCCCAGAATAAACAATGCAGACATTCCTGTCACTAAAATAACATTTTCTCTGTTCATTAGTTATGTCTCCAGGCCCCTCTTATATTACTCTTGCATTCATCCAAACATTCTGTTATAATCCATTGTTTTTTGTGGTTGTTTATTGAGTGCGACTATGAAATAAGCCGCCATGGGCCCAAGGAAAATTCCTAGTGCTAGCCCTTTGGTAAAGAAAGTGATAAACACGATAGAATTCAAGAACGAAGTTGTAGCAAAGTACGAAAGTGGTGTACATTTGCTCGAGCTTGCCAGGGAGGTGCAAAGTTTTGTGGAGAAATATCACCCTGACCAAGCTGAAACAAGCCATATCTGCAACATGCTCAGTGACAAAACCTTGTTCCACTTCAGGCAAATCTTAAAGAGATGCCAGAAACAGACCTCTCTGGACAGTTTTTTTGTGTGGCAGGGGTCCAGTGACTCTCAAGCTGGTCCTAGTGCCAGTAAAAGACAAAGAAGGGAAGTAACCCTGGATAGGGACTTGATACCTGAAGTCCTTATGGAGGGGGATTCCCTTTCCAAACAATAATCAATCCTCCCTCTTTCCTCCTCCGTGTCTTCCATACGCCAACAAGAATCTTCAATAAAGGTAAATGTGATGTTAAATGTTCATTTATCCATTTCATTAGTCATTTTATTTAGTTCTCATTGCTTTGGTATGTAAGACTATAGTTAATCTTTAAAAAATGTATTTTTTGTTAATATCTTTGGGTGTCTGGAACAGATTAATTGTTGTATTTCTTATTAACACATCGGCTGATTCCCACCAAGGCAGGATGGCCCGAAAAAAAAACTTTCATCATCATTCACTCCATCACTGTCTTTCCAGAGGGGTGCTTTACACTACAGTTATAAAACTGCAACATTAACACCCCTCCTTCAGAGTGCAGGCACTGTACTTCCCATCTCCAGGACTCAAGTCCGGCCTGCCGGTTTCCCTGAATCCCTTCATAAATGTTACTTTGCTCACACCCCAACAGCACGTCAAGTATTAAAAACCATTTGTCTCCATTCACTCCCATCAAATATGCTCACGTACGCTTGCTGGAAGTCCAAGCCCCTCGCACACAAAACCTCCTTTACCCCCTCCCTCCAACCCTTCCTAGGCTGACCCCTACCCCACCTTCGCTCCACTACGGATTTATACTCTCTTGAAGTCATTCTGTTTTGTTCCATTCTCTCTGCATGTCCGAACCACCTCAGCAACCCCTCCTCAGCCCTCTGGATAATAGTTTTGGTACTCCCACACCTTCTCCTAATTTCCAAACTACGAATTCTCTGCATTATATTCACACCACACAATGCCCTCAGACGTGACATCTCCACTGCCTCCAGCCTTCTCATTGCAACATTCATCACCCATGCTTCACACCCATACAAGTGTTCGTACAACTATACTCTCATACATTCCCCTCTTTGCTTCCACGGACAAAGTTCTTTGTCTCCAAAGACTCATAAGTGCACCACTCGCCCTTTTCCCCTCATCAATTCTATGATTCACCTCATCCTTCATAGACCCATCTGCTGACACATCCACTCTTAATTTTCTTCTTTTACATACCCTACCAAATTCATCCACCAACCTATGTAACTTCTCTTCAGAATCCCCCAAAAGCACAGTGTCATCAGCAAAGAGCAACTGTGACAACTCCCACTTTGTGTTTGATTCTTTATCTTTTAACTCCACACCTCTTGCCAAGACCCTCGCATTCACTTCTCTTACAACCCCCTCTATAAGTATATTGAACAATCATGGTGACATCACACAACCTTGTCTAAGGCCTACTTTTACTGGGAAATAATCTCCTTCTCTCCTACATGCTCTAACCTGAGCCTCACTGTCCTCGTAAAAACTCTTCACTGCTTTCAGTAACCTACCTCCTATACCATACACCTGCAACATCTGCCACATTGCCATATGCCTTTTCCAAATCCATAAATACCACTAAAACCTCTTTACCCTTATCTAAATACTGCTCACCTGTATGTTTCACTGTCAACACTTGGTCTACACACCCCTTACATTTCCTAAAGCCTCCTTGTTCATCTGCTATCCTACTCTCCATCTTACTCTTAATTCTTTCAATAATAACTGTACCAGTGAGGAGTAGGGGTGCGGTGGGGACAGTAAGGGAACACTATCAACATCTGGGGTCCCAGACTTTTCAACATCTTACCAGAAGATATCAGAAACACTGCTGGAACAAGTGTTGAAGCCTTCAAGAGGAAACTAGACAAGTATCTTCACCAGGTGCCAGATCAACCAGGCTGTGATGGATATGTGGGGCAGCAGGCCTCCAGCAGCAACAGCCTGGTTGACCAGGCAAGCACCAGACGTGCCTGGCCCATTGCCGGGCTCAGAGTTAGATATGTACTCTCGAAATTCTTCAAAGGTATATCAAAGGTATACACTTTACCAGGTATACTCAACAGACTTCTTCTTTCTTGCAACACACTGGCCGTATCCCACCGAGGTGGGGTGGCCCAAAAGGAAAAACGAAGGTTTCACCTTTTCTTTATTCTTTCAACACACCGGCCGTGTCCCACCGAGGCGGGGTGGCCCAAAAAGGAAAAATTAAAGTTTCTCCTTTTACATTTAGTAATATATACAGGAGAAGGAGTTACCAGCCCCTTGCTCCTGGCATTTTAGTCGCCTCTTACAACATGCATGGCTTACGGAGGAAGAATTCTGTTCCACTTCACCATGGAGATAAAAGGAAATCAACAGGAACAAGAACTAGAAAGAAAATAGAAGAAAACCCAGAGGGGTGTGTGTGTATATATGCTTGTGCATGTATGTGTAGTGTGACCTAAGTGTAAGAAGAAGTACCAAGACGTACCTGAAATCTTGCATGTTTATGAGACAGAAAAAAGACACCAGCAATCCTACCATCATGTAAAATAATTACAGGCTTCCGTTTTACACTCACTTGGCAGGACGGTAGTACCTCCCTGGGTGGTTGCTGTCTACCAACCTACTACCTAGAACTCGACAGACTACTACTACTTTTGACACACCAGCCGTATCCCACCGAGGCAGGGTGGCCCAAAAAGAAAAACGAAAGCTTCTCCTTTTACATTTAGTAATATATACAGGAGAAGGGGTTACTAGCCCCTTGCTCCTGGCATTTTAGTCGCCTCTTACAACACGCATGGCTTACGGAGGAAGAATTCTGTTCCACTTCCCCATGGGGATAAAAGGAAATCAACAGTAACAAGAACTAGAAAGAAAATAGAAGAAAACCCAGAGGAGTGTGTGTGTATATATGCTTGTACATGTATGTGTAGTGTGACCTAAGTGTAAGAAGAAGTAGCAAGACATACCTGAAATCTTGCATGTTTATGAGAAAGAAAAAAGACACCAGCAATTCTACCATCATGTAAAATAATTACAGGCTTCCATTTTACGCTCACTTGGCAGGACGGTAGTATCTCCCTGGGTAGTTGCTGTCTACCAACCTACTACCTAGAACTCAACAGACTTCTTCCCCTATAATTTTTGCACTCTCTTTTATCCTCTTTGCCTTTATACAAAGGAACTATGCATGCTCTCTGCCAATCCCTAGGCACCTTATCCTCTTCCATACATTTAGTAAATAATAGCACCAACCACTCCAAAACTATATCCCCACCTGCTTTTAGCATTTCTATCTTTATCCCATCAATCCCAGCTGCCTTACCCCTTTTCATTCTACCCACTGCCTCACAAACTTCCCCACACTCACAACTGGCTCTTCCTCACTCCTACAAGATGTTATTCCTCCTTGCCCTGTACACAAAATCACAGCTTCCTTATCTTCTTCATCATTTAACAATTCCTCAAAATATTCCCTCCATCTTCCCAATACCTCTAACTCTCCATTTAATAACTCTCCTCTCCTATTTTTAACTGTCAAGTCCATTTGTTCTCTCTCTCTCTCTCTCTCTCTCACTTCAAGAGTGTATCAGTCTGTAGTGGAAGGAAGGCGGGGTAGGGGTCGGCCTAGGAAAGGTTGGAGGGAGGGGGTAAAGGA